TGTATCCGGAATCTAAGGAAACCGAGATCGACGGAAAAGGTGAGTCGGGCAGCGAGAAATCGGGAGGAGAAAGGAAATGAAGAAAAGTGTTGAGGTTAGGAAGACGAAGAGGAAAACGATGAAGAAGATTCGTTGTTTCCTATTTCCTGTGAATGAAGAATCATCGTAGTCAGTCGTCTTTCGACCAACACAATAGGTGAAAGGCCCATGTTTTGGACGTTGTAGTGGGCTTTGCCTATCTTTGTTTTGCTGGACTTTTTTGCCAAAGTTTGCAATTTGAACTTAACAACAATTATATTTTAAAAACATGTTTTTACAATAATTTGAATTTTCTTTTATAATATTTTTTTTTACATAATTTTAGGAATTTTAAAATTACTTTTTAAGTGTTTTTAACGATTTTTTAAAGGGATTTGGATCATATATATATATGTCGAAGTATATGCATGTATTAGCGTTTGAAAGTCGTCAGTAATTTTGATGGATCCAATTATCCAAATTTAATATTCTAACATATTAGTGTATTTGATCCGTGTGCCCACCACCCTAAGTTGAAAGATAATGTTTTTCTCCTTTCAAAAAACGTCGCAAGGTTGAAATATTACCACTACGTACGTACTTTGTTGAAAATAATCATGTTTAATAACTTGATTTCCAATCAATTTGTTCTGATTTGGATGATTGGATCCTCTACCCTTAACAAATCTGACCATATATAGATTACAGACAGAAGCAATACGAACAATGTCGTTTACAGATGTGTAACATCTGTTTTCTTCCTACACGACAAACCCAACCAACGATCTACGTAGTAATTACTAACTACTGTAGTATAAGTAAAGTACCCACACCCCCTACCATAAATATAGGATAATCCAATGTTTTAATTTTTTTCTTTTATCTTTTTGTGGTAGGAACAAACAAAGAAAACTCCACAACCATACCTTATGTCACCAGCTAAACCAATTGGAGAAGCCAAGAAGAAGGAGAGAAAAAAACAGCAGTATATATGAAGTATCAGAATATAACTTGGTAAATTGGGAAAAAGAAGGGTAAATATGATTTTAAAGGGAAGCAGGGAAGGTGGCGGAAGAAGAGAAAGAAAAGATCTCGTCAAGCGCCCCGTTCATTGAGTCTCTGCATTGAAACTCTTGTTGCCTGGAGATATCGATTGATGACATAATCTCTGCTTCCTTCATAGAAAGCTGAGGGAAATCTTGGAGTTGGAGAGGAGGATGGTAATTAGGAAGCTGAGAGTAGTTTGAAAAAAGAAGATCATGATCGTCGAGAAGAGAGGAGGAGAAATGAAGCGCGAAAATGGAGGAGCTGTTGGCTTCGTCTAAAAGGATCCCTTGATGAGTGAGCTCTGATGAGGATGTCTCCGCCGATACTATTTTCAAGCTCTCGTCTTCTTGGCTTTCTCTTTCCATCCTATCCTCAACATTCCCATCACGTTGTCTCCACTTCTTCTCCCCTTCTTCTTCCTCTTCTTTACCAACACTAGTACCGATCTCTTCTTCTTCTCCTTCTTCTTTTTTCTTTGGAATTTGTATATTCTTCTTGAACACTCGGCACAATGCAAAAGACTCCTGTTTTACGTCATCATTTTCAGTATCTAATATTTATATATATATATATATATATATATATATGTGTGTACAAAGAGTCAAAGACTAAAGTACAGTAATATCTTATGATGAATCTTGCGCATAATAATAAGGAAATAAAAACAAGTATATATATATATATATATATATATATATATTAGTTACCTTGAAGGAGGAGGAGGAGGAGGAGGAAGAAGAAGGAGGGTGAGTGAGGCGATATTCATGCATCACCCAATTAGTACGAAGGCCATGAGGAGCCCTTCCTCTGTAATAAACGAGCGTCTTCTTCATCCCCATCTTCATCTTCTTTGATTCTACTGCACGGTCTTTCCCTGTGGCTTTCCAGTAACCCGCTCGGGTCGCACGGTTTGTCCTCGACCCATTCGGATACTTCTTATCCCTTGTGCTGTAAAAGTACCATTCCATGTCGTTCCCCGGCAGAAATGACTTTTCTGTTCCTCGTTATTCATTTGTTCATATATACGATTAGTTCTTTCAAAAAACCTCCATCTTAAACGTATGCAAATGAATGTCTGATGTTAACAAGAACTGTATATTTATATAGAGCGAGGGAGATCTAGAGGGACAGAGAGAGAGATGGTACGTACCAGGCAAATCCCATGGCTCGCATTTATAGAGATCAACTTCAGGAATGATCTCCAGCTCAATGGTTCGGCCGTTGACCTTCCTATCCAGATAGTAAGCCACTAGCTCTTCGTCTGTTGGATGAAACCTGAATCCTGGAGGCAAACTCATTGGCGCCATCCAAAATAGATGGGAGATGTATAGAGAGAGAGATGATAAATCAAATTTAGATAGCTGCTGAGGGTTTACGTGCGATATATATATGAAGGAGGCTATATATATAAATAACAACAGGAGACCGCTGTAGGAGATATGATATGGGAATGTGTAAAAGTATGCCATGGGATTGGCATCTGTCTTGTGAGATTAATATTTTGTCTTACTTTGGGTTACTTTTGGGCCAGTGTTTGTCATGATACTCATCACATTTATTTTAAAACATAACATTATTTTATATTTTAATCCTAATATAATAAACAAACATTGAACTCTGGCTTTTAAAGATTCTGCAAGTGTGAAAACCCAAGTAGGAGAGACGGAAAAGGTTAGAAAGAAGAAGGCCCCAGCCAGATCTCTACAATACTGCATTATATATGTATGTGTGCATAGCGATCGATACGCGCTCATCACCATCATCTACTACTATCAGTTCTTGTTTTTCTATAAATACGAAATATAATTGCTTTAAACAAAAAAAGAAGGCTTTTAATGATTCAACAATTTAAGGGACCCATCTCTTCTCAAACAAGATCTACCTGGCGACACCTAAACACACTTCTTTTTCTTTTTCGGTTTGACAGTTACAAAAAAAAAAAAAAAACTCAATTATGCTATTAAGAAATTGAAGTTTTTATATATAGAAAAAGCGGAGGCATCCAAATCGCCTTTGGCTTTAGCGTTGGGAGGCTTCTTTAGTCACTTTTACATATGGATTAAAGACCTTGTTTGCCTCTTTTACATCATTACTCCCACACAATCTTTGACTCATCTCTCTCTTTCTCTACCTTCAATTTACTAACTCACGGTCAAATCTCTTTTGCCTCGACCCTCGGTTTCGATCCAAAAGATAAAATAAAAAAATTGACATCTTCACATGTAGAATATAACCCATATTCGTATAGATGTCTTGTTTGCATTTTTTTGTTTGTGGCTGAAATCTAATTCACGTCACACGTATTACTTATGAAGAGTACAACGGTAACAGAATTTAACTGAATGGGTTTTTTTTTTCGTTCTTGTCAATAAGTGATCAAACGTTTTTGCAACAAAATTATTAGCAAGCGCGGGAGAGAGAAATTTATATTAAATTCATCCATATGTTGCAAAAGGCTCTTCCACAAATAGAATACACTAGGATTTGACCCGCGCCCTGCACGGGGTGATGGTTTCTGAATTTGTTTTTTTATTAGAAAATGTTATTTAAATATCTCAAAATTTTATGCCACGGATTTTTAACTTTTGTTAGATTATTGTCTTCGTTTATTCGTTTATAGTATGGAAATTAAGCATTTTAAACTATTTTTAAAAAATAAAGAAATTAAAGTTTTGATCGTAGCCATATATTAAATATGATAGATTTAAAAAAGATACATAAAATTCAAATGACTACAAATATAATAAGATAGTTTAAAGAACAAAAAACTGAAAATAAAACATTATTCTTTTAGAATATTTATACATGTATTTCATAAGATAAGAAGTATACATGTATTTTATAAGATAAGAAGTTTTAGTTGAGTGTACCTGGATAAGAACTAATTTTTGTTTTTTTCTTTCAAAACTAAAACATGCTTTGTTATAGTTTCAAAACAATCCACCCAATAAGAAAACAATCTGCATAATCCAAGTTGTCAAAAAAAAAAATATATATATATATAATTAACTTTATATTTAAAGTTGAAACAGATTGAGTAATATTCAAAATTTTAATCAAAATAAAATATTTAGAAAAATAACCTTTTTAGTATATTTGATTATAGAATTTAATTAAAAACCATATTAAATGGAATAAAAATAATAATTTACTTTTGGATACCTACTAAATGAGGTTATGTACTAAACAATTTATATTATTTTGTTTTTAAAAATTCAAATCATAGCATGTATAGAAAAAGTTTTAGATTTTCTTTATTAAATCTTGTATATTGTGATTCAAATTATTTTATAAAAAAAGTTAAATGAATATAATAGGAGATATATGGTGATTTTAAAAGAAATTATTATGATAGAATTAAATTGAATTCATATCTTCCTTATTTACCAATTTTCGTAGTTGTCAATTAAGAAAAGAGAAGAGAATGATAATATTTAATAACATATATATGACTCTCTAACCAAAAATATGAATGACAATGTTTGTAATTATTCTAGTAAGCTAATCCTTATTTCATAACTAACCTAAGAAGCTCTCTAGTGATGACACATCAGCATGACATTCTTGTTAATAATACATCAACTAAAGTTACTTTTAAAGTGTTTTCTCTTTTAATATATTAGGGATAAGATATATTTTTTCCATAAAGTAAAATATTCAAAACTCAAGAAGTAACAAAAACATTTTACCTAAGCTTTCGGATTTGGTCACCCATACCCGGGGGAGAGAGAGATTGGCGAAAGATGTTTGACATGATAGCTTATACGGTATATCATCATCAACTGGCATGCCCCAATTAATTGTACATCATCATTTTTTTCTCGGAACGAGTCGAGCCTATATATACGAACATACAAGGTGGCAATATGCGATCCAATGTTCCATTCCATACATATGTATATAGTTCGCATGACAAACGTAAAAGGACAAGGAATTGTGGGTGGATAACTTAACTAATTCCTAAAGACAAATTGGGGGACGAGGAAGCTAACATGGAAGCCTAACTAAAGACATGCAACCTTTCACACGATCTAAGGGGAAACGAATAAAGCATTCATATGAAGATTTAAGCATCTTTAGCAACCCTTTCGATTTTGATTGCACATTTATCAAATAATTCATAATAATTGTTCATGCTAGCTTATATTGCAATTTCCAGAGTGGCACTAATACCATGCATATACATTAGAGGCAATCGTACGTAACTGTAACGTTGTTAAATGAAAATAAAAAGGGAACTGTAACTCTGTATATAAGTGTATATTTATGAAGTAAAATAGATAGAGAATATTGGTAAAGGCGGAACCTAGCAATCAGGGAGTGAGCTGGGGGGAATCATGATTCATGATGATATGATACATCATCAACATCAACATCAACATCAACATCAATCACAATTCTTCTAAAAGAGAGGGAGAAAGAAAGAGAAGAAGAAGAGTCTTGTTCAGAAAAAGCAGCATCTGATTCCCTACATGTCGGTTTCCACAGCATCTTTTTCATCTCATTTTAGCTTGTGCTGATCTCAGAAAGAAGAAGCTTTAAAATAAATAATATAATCCCCTGTGCCTCTGAATTCTTGCTTTCAGAAGTTTTCACGCATCTCAAAATATAGCAGAATAATTAATCCAAAATCTTGTGTTGCCTTTTGCTTTTCTCCATGCATTAAATATCGTTTCTACCCTTATTCTCCCACATTGCGACCTTTGTCCTTGTTGAAAGTGGTCACACTCATTACTCTTTTTAATATACTATTCAACAGGACCACCTTGTGATTGTTATTCTTATTCATTTGAGAGTGATAAAAATTACTCTTCAATTAGGCAAAGCAGATCTTCGTCAGTTGTAAGATCTTAGTATATTATTAACGACTTGATGATTACAGTTAAAGCTGCCTAATGCTAGTACATGAGTTTGAGATCAATAATAATAATACTGTTCCAAGTTCCAACTTCCAGGATAGAGCTACCGTCAAAAAAGTTAAAAAGAGGAGTAAATTAATTTATGAAGAGCCGGCCCATATTAGGATGGGCTTCTTGATTGATTGGCGAAAGAGTGTGGCCCAACGGAGAGAGAGTGAGTCAGAGAGCAGTCTTCACTTTTCATCTGTCACAGAAGATCAGAGCAGAGAGCAGAGAGCAGCAGAGAGCGGAGAGCGGAAAGCAGACCCGTTGATCAAAGAAGATCGGTAGTCAATAACGTATTCTCTAATTAACAGCTGCATATACTGAATACTACTAATCCGTCAACGCAGAAGATGGAGTCGGAGAAGATCAAGGTGGCCAATCCCGTCGTTGAAATGGATGGTAAGTGTTGGAAATCTCAAAATCTGTGATTGCGATTATGGAATTCTGTCTGCTTCATCTATTGGAGGAGTACATGTGATCGTTTTTGTTCGGGGATTGAGTGTGTGGCTTGTAATTTCCGAATGTGACTCTTTGTTATTTTCACGCAGGAGACGAGATGACTCGAGTTATCTGGAAATTCATTAAAGACAAGGTAAGCGAGCTCAAATCACCTTTTGTATTTTATTATATTCCGATCCTTAAATCATCCTTGTTTTGTAAATTCCACAGCTTATTTTCCCATTCGTGGAGTTGGATATCAAATACTTTGATCTCGGACTACCTAACCGTGATCTTACTGATGATAAAGTTACTACAGAGAGTGCTGAAGCTACCCTCAAGTATGTCTCTTTACTTTTCATCCTTATAGCACAATTTGTTCTTGTTTTTTCTTCTTCCTGCTCTGACTCTTGTGTTTTCTCTTTTCATGTCAAGGTATAATGTCGCTATTAAGTGTGCCACGATTACTCCAGGTATGCCTTGTCATCATCGAACCTGTCAAGAGTCTACTTATTTTGACTTACTTACCACATTTTGCTTTCGAAATCAGGTGAAGCTCGTGTTAGGGAGTTTGGTTTGAAAAAAATGTGGAGGAGTCCTAACGGAACTATTAGGAACATTTTAAACGGTCAGTTTCTTCTCCTAATTTGAGGGCAATTCGCTCTTTACTTTTCCAAGCTCCAAGGTCATTGCTATTTTCGCAGGTACGGTTTTCAGGGAACCTATCATTTGCAGAAACATCCCTCGCATTGTGTCAGGTTTGTTAACGGCTGCTCTTTTCTATGGTTTTGCCATCTTCATGCACTTGTAACATGTATTTCCTTTCTTCAGGATGGACGAAGCCAATCTGTATCGGAAGGCATGCTTTTGGTGATCAGTATCGAGCTACTGATATCATTGTTAATGAACCAGGAAAACTGAAACTGATTTTCGGTATATCTCCTTATCCCGTTGTTTGATATTGT